TGGAGAAAAGGGAAGGAATGTTTGGACTTGGGCTGTGTTTCAGAAGTGAAGTTACCAGGATTTGCTGATGCATGAAGAATGAGAAAATAATCAAGAATAATTCCTATGAATTTGGCTTGAGTAACTGATAGATGGTGGTGCCATTTATGATATGGAGGAACCTGGGGCAGAGGTAGGTTGTATTGTATTTGAAATGCTTATTAGACATTTACAAGGAAATGTCACATGGATAGGCAAGGTTCTCGTTCAGGTGATGTCGATTTGGTTGTCACTGGCAGATAGATGGTTTGAATGCCATGTGACTGGGTGAATCACCAGGGAGAATGTGTAAATAAAGAAGGTTGGAAACAAAGCCTGGATAGAGAACATTTGGGGGTTGGCTGAGAAAAAGAAACCAGCAAAGGTGACTGAGGAGCAGCCAATGAGATGGTAGGAAAACAAGGAGAATGTGATGTCAGGAAAGTGAAGGAATTAAGTGTTTCAAGAAGGAGGGAGAGTCAACCTCATGGAATTCTTTGGAAAAGTCAAATAGAGTAAGAACAGGAAAGTGATTTTTGGATTTGGAACTTTAAAGAACAGCAGCTTGAGTAAAATGATGGGAGCAGAAACCTAGCAGGAGGGCTTCAGGAAGCAATAAATAAGTAATAATACAAGAATAAACTCTGTTTCACGTACTCACAGTTGTAACCCTACTTTTGCCCACCCGTGAATAAACAATGTAAGAAGAGTGGGTTTTTCTCTCTCAAGGACTATTCACATTTAAGTACTCATATGTTCATAAGACATTACTAGATCACTTTTATTTGAAGTGATGCACTAAAGCTATCAGCATATGGCATAAAGATTAAATTTTTCAGAGCAATGGAATGAGAACTAAATAGGAGAGAATGGGAATTCCACTGCATTTGTTCACACACTTTCAACCACAAATACAGTAAATCTATTGGACATATCACTGTTACTCTCTCAGCTGTTGTATTGGTTAAAGTAGAGCTATATCATTTCTGTTCCTTGCTCTTTGTCACTGAGATCATCAACCTCTTTTTAGGGCCCTTGAGATCTATACCTTAGCTTTTGGTCAGGAAATAAGAAAGCCGTTTTCTCCCATCAGGCCTCCCTACTCATTCCAAAACTGAGTTACTACGGCAAAAGGACTCATGATCTCTAAGATGTTTAGTGATCGATTCCATGCTTCCTAACTGATGGGAATAGCCTGGATTTCTGCCTGTCAGTTCCCAGCTGTAATAATTAGTAAAGGAACTTCCTAAATTCCATGCAGCCATTTCCGGCTTGGGTCATATTTGAAATGTGGAAGGCTGCATTGGGGTGGGGATGGTAAATTAAAGGAGGATCCCTTTGTGTTCTAAATCTTTGGTAAAATTGAGTGGGCTATGCATACATATAAATGTATATAATTTTAACTTAAGGTGGGGGAAGCATTTTGGAGACCTTCGAGCAGATTAACAAATAGTATTTGTATACACGTAACTAAAACAGTAATTTATCAGGTAGACGGCAAATGGGGGGAATGAAATGCCAACCTGTATCTACAGTTGTGTTGTGTTGATGATGAAGTGCTGTTTATTCAGGGCCAGCCCAGCTTGTCAGCAACATAAGAGCCATCGCAGCACATGACTCCCTGCGTAGCTAGAAGACAATAATAAATTATCTCCTATGCAAACAGCACCGGCATAAAAGCAGAACAAACAGCCTCTGCCTCCCGGATTCCTGAAGATTCTCACTCATTCCCTTGTTTGATTCAGTTTTAAACATGAAACTCCTGGCATTATCCTAAAGACAGTAGGCTGGACACTGGTCTGGACAATTTTATTAGGGTGGGTAGGACAAGGTTGTTGATGATCTCTGTTTTGGGGTTACGTGTTTTGTTTCTTTAACATGCTTAAATGAGTCCCAGGAGTCTTTGTTTTATCAATACTGCATCTGATCCTGTGGAATTTGGGGCCACCCAGAGGAAAACGGGAGGGTGCTACTCAAGGGTGTTTGAGCCCAAGAATCACTTGCAGTACATAATGAAATACAGATTCTTGAGCTAATCCTCAGCCTGCTAAGTGAGAAGATGCAAAACAGCCCAGAACTACACACTCCAGGCTGATTTTTATGATGAGGATAGTGTGAGGAGCAAGGGCCTGAAGGTGTGAATTAGTAAGTCCTGGGACAGCATTGAGATAACCCAAAGGACTGCTTCATAGGAAAATATACCAATTAACTAATCCCGCCCCAGAGCAGTGCTTTTCGGATTTCCATGTGCATCACATCACCTGGGATTTGTGGAAAGGGCAGATTCTGCTTCGGTAGATCTGGGGCGTGGCCTGAGACTCTGCCCTGGACTTGAGTTCAGCAAGACCCTAGTGCTATCGTTTTAACACAGAAGAATCCCAATATATTGGAGCTCAGCCAACATCTTGGAATAGCAAATGTTCCACTTGTATGGCTTTGAATAATGCTGATTCTACTGAATCCTAGTCTTGCCCTCAGATACCAGTAAAATCTCTCTCTTGTTTGAGTGACCCAGTGGGAGTGTCATGGTAATTTTATTATGTGTCAGACTCTTAGAAATGTTGTGTCTTCTTTCAGGAGTTTATAAATGCATTTTAGGGTTTTATGTACATAATTTAAAAATATTTTGAAAGGTCCTGGCCACTGTTGCTCAGTGATTAGGGCACTGGCCCATGCACCAAAGGGTCACAGGTTTGATTCCCGGTCAAAAGCACGTACCTGTGTTGCAGGTTCAATCCCTGCCCCTGGTTGGGTGTGTGTGTGAGGCAACCAATTGATGTATCTTTCTCACATCGATGTTTCTCTCTCTCTCTCTCCTTCCCTTCCTTCCCCCTTTTTTCTCCTTCCTTCCCTCCCTTCTACTCTCTCTAAAAAAATATACATATATATTTTAAAAGAAAATTGTAGAGCTTCTTGTGCTAAAGCCTTCAGTCACTGGAGATAAAATATACGTAGCTGCTGTCCATTCTTGTTTTCCTTTGGAACCATATCTGGCAGAAAGTTCAGTATTGAGGCTCTTGATGGATAACACCAAGGATGATTTGAAATAATTTTATCTATTGAATGCACATGTATAATCTGAGGTCTGTTTTATTTTTTAAATTTATTCCAGATATCTACTTTGATTGTGAGTGAATTAATTTTTTAAGTATCCATTTAAAAATTGTTAATATGACACTTGGACAATAAATAAAAAGCATCAAAGCTGACAGTAGGCATTTTGGAACACATGCTTCCAAAGCTAGTGTATTTGAACATCATAGATTTCATTAGCAGGTCAGTACAGTAGACCCTTGGTATTCATCAGCAATATATTCTGAGGCCTTTGTGAATTCCCATGTGCAATTCCTTGTAACCAAAAAGTGAATGAGCCGAAACCGGTTTGGCTCAGTGGATAGAGTGTCGGCCTGCGGACTGAAAGGTCCCAAGTTCGATTCCGGTTAAGGGCATGTACCTGGGTTGCGGGCACATCCCCGGTGGGGGGTGTGCAGGAGGCAGCTGATCGATGTTTCTCTCTCATCGATGTTTCTGACTCTCTATCTCTTTCCCTTCCTCTCTGTAAAAAATCAATAAAATATATATTTTTTTAAAAAAAGTGAATGAAAGTGGCCTCGTGAGATGCCTAATAAGAGTGGCTGCCACAGGAGTAAAAAACAAAGGCCCTTGGGGTGTGGAAGCTGGTGATGGGCTGAGCCCACAAATCTGCCAAGTGTCCCTTATACCCTCTTAGAGGCTCAGAGACCTTGAGAGTGAACTCAGTAGAATTAGAGGACATGGGATATGGATATTTTAAATAGTCTAGTAAATAGTCTAAGCCACAAACATCATATCCACACGTTTCAAAGAGCTACAACATACAAACATTAATCTGGGCATGAACAAATCCGCACCTATATGCACTGTGCTGTTGAGCTAGTTATCTGAGGAGGGGGTATGTGGCACTTCACTTCATGTGGTATACATTTCTGTATTGCTTTAATACTTTACCAAGGGCATGCATAATTCTGATGACTTTTGTCATCAGAAAAAAATTAATGGAATTCTTCATCTTGAGTGCATTATCATGGTGATTTTCATTAAGTAGCACAATACACTGTCAGTTGATTGATTATATGTGATGATTATATGTAATGCCACATATATGCCGTGATGGAGGATTATGTAGCACAGGTTGATTTTGTATATGTGTCTCTCCATTCAATAGACATTGGTCTTCACTGTGTTTCTTTAAGAAAAAGAGGCACCCATGCCAGCAAAGTGGTTCTCGTTGTAGTTCATCAAACTTGAAAAGGCCAGCACACTTTCCGAGAAGGTGAGCCATAGGTCTGGGTACTCCGTGGTAGCAGTTGACTTTTCTGCAGTTATTCATTTCTCCTTATTACCACAGAGAACAAGCAGATCTGACATTACAGCCTTTACACCATCTTCTAAACATCTACTGAATACACGTGTATAGTAAGAGGTCCGATTTTTTAAAAAGGGGGTAAAAAGCATTCAGTAAACTCAGCTAGGTTCATCCTTATGAATTCTGCTTGAAGTTAATAATAATCATTAGAAAACATTATAGGAAAGAACAATAATTTCCTACTTGCTATTTTTCTAGTGATAAGTTGCAATAATAGCAGACATTCCTATGTCCTAGGATCAATAAGATAAAATGTCAGTATTTGAAATGAAAGTCAGTATTTGAATAAATATTTTAGGGGAAAAACAGATCTTATTAAGGTATCTGTTTCTTATCTAAACTATTCTTAATAATCACGGCAAAGGCTCCTTCCTTTCTTGGTTTTAGGAAAACAAACAAGCAAGGTACGTCTTAAGCCATCGCATGAAACTTTCCAAACTTCCTCGAAGTGTTTATTTCACTTGTACCTAATAATATATCTCTGTCGCAATACAGCATAGGACTGGACAAATTTGTGGCAAACCGCCCAAAGCTGAGCAGTTTGACATTAATATCAAATTGCCTGTTGTTGTTTCAGAACTATGTGTTTCACGGCAATATCACCAGTGATTTGAAAGCATTTGCAGACAAGTTCGGTTTTGATGTCCTCATCCTCTTGGCCAGCTATCTTTCGGAGGAGCAGCAGCCAAGACGACAGATTGCGGTGTACTCCGAGAACCTAGAGCTGTGCAGTCAGGTAAGGATCTCCTCCAACCCTCGTACATGTCACTGCATCCTGACCTGTTTGCTCTCAGAGCAGGTGGTGAAGGATGGGAATGGATTGGTGGCATACGGAAAATGGCCCAGGAGAAAAAGTTTTAGAGTTTGAGTTTTAAGAATTGCTGGGGGTATTTTGTACATTGGGCCTTTTAAAAGAACCCCATAACCATTCTCTTCTGGAATGAATCCATAGAGGGGGATAGATCATAGCTTTCTGATCCAAACGAGGGTCAGTCTTCCTTTGAGTGCTGTTTTCTTAGTCCCTGCCTGAATGCCTGTTTGGTGCCCAGTGTTGAGTAACTGTGGATCTGATGCTTTAATCAAAGTTAGCCTCTAGGTACTAGAATTCTGACTGGGTAATCAGTTGGACCCTCTCAGTTGAGAGCTGAATCTTTTAACACAAGCCTATGGAAAGTATATAAAATGTAGACAAAATTAATCAAAATACCAAACCAGGTGTATTCAATAATATGAGAGCATACATGATTCATTATAATATGGATACCATGGCCCAGAATGGGTTCATCAGCCAGTCTTTCCTCGCTAATGGATTAGACACCTCGTGTATCCACAGGTGGCAAGAGGCAAAGTCTCGACTTTTCTGCATCCTCACTTTCGGTTCCCGTCTTAAGAGACCTACCGGGGCTTTCTTGACTGTAAGGCTGCCCTGTGCTTTCTCATGTCCAAAAATTAAAGAGGCCCCTGTCCCTGCTACAGATGCATTTGGTACCTCTTTCTGACCCATACTGTGCATTGTGTCATCAGCCTGAGGCCTCTTCAGTGCTTTGTTCTGCCTTGGGTTTCAAAGCTGAATTTTATTTTCCTATGGACAGGAGTTAGGTCTCCTGCTTCTTATGAGCACAGCAAGGACACCGCTCCCAACGAACATCACGTGCTGAATGAAAACCAGCCTTCAGTATGGTGGTTTTACACATGACAATTAGTAGCAAATCAATTTTTTAAAGGTTCATTTTTAAAAAGACCAACATAGAAGAGCAGATGAAGGGGTTAGAAGCCCTTGGCTGCCTCCACCCCACCTCTCCTTTCCTCACCCAGCTTCCCCACCAGAGACAGCTCTTTGGAACCTGAAGCAATACAGGATCAGGACTATTCACTCCTAAGGAACCCCTCTTTGTTCCTGTGGTCACTGTTAGTCACAGGTCAGCATCTGCAGCTCGACTGTCTGAGTTCAAAATGTGGCTCCTTCACTTGTTAGCTGCATGTGGTTGGTCAAGGTATTTCATCTTCCTGGGTCTCCGTTTACTCATTGTCAAAACGGGGGTGAAGAGTTCCTACCTTGTAGAATTGTCATGAAGATTAAAGGAGATAATGCACATAAAACCTTTAGAACTGGGCTCGGCATAGGAAAACATTCAATAAATGTTCATTATTAATCACTATTATTATCTATGCAAGCTCTGTAGTTACTTATGATTATTGTTCTTGCTTCTGCTGCTGCTGATGTTGTTACCTTCACTAATCCTGTGGGACCATTTCAAAAGCCCCTTGTGAAAATATCCCCAACACTTCCTAAAACCAGGGAGCTTTCCCCACTAGTCCTTGTCAGCAACCAGCATTATTTCTGTCTGTGTTTTCTTTTTTAAATTTGAAAAAATTTGCCCTTTTTTTCACACTTCCACTTCTGTTGGAAGATGGTGTTATATTACACTAAGGAAAAGATTTAAGTGGTTTTAGATCTCTTTTCCTACAACTCTCAGAATCCAGCAAAAGTGAGCCCCTGTATTTTGAATTCAGTGAAAAGCCAGTTTGATAGGATTAGAGAAAGAGTTGGTGGTCTATTTGGTGGGACTTTCCATGCATCATACAATTTTCAGTTATTTGAATTCTTCTTTAAAGACAGATGAACACAGATTAATTTTATGTTAAGAAAAATTAAGAAAAAGGAATTGCAAAGAGCAGAGAGTACCTGAGTGCTCATGCAAACCCCTGTGTTTCCCTAACAGATTTGCTGTGAGCTGGAAGAGTGTCAGAACCTTTGCCTAGAGCTGGAGCCCTTTGAATGTGGCTGTGATGAGATCCTGGTGTACCAGCAGGAGAACCCTGCCGTGACTTGTGACCAGGTGGTTCTCCTTGTCAAGGAAGTCATCAATCGGAGGTGTCCAGAGATGATCTCCAACAGCCGGACATCTTCCACCGAAGCCGTGGCAGGCAGCGCCCCCCTCTCCCAGGGGTCGTCTGGGATTATGGAGCTGTATGGCTCTGACATAGAGCCACAGCCCAACTCTGTGAATTTCATAGAAAACCCTCCAGATCTCAACGATTCTAACCAGGCCCAGGTGGATGTCAACACAGACCTCGTTAGCCCAGACAGCGGGTTGGCCACCATTAGGAGCAGCCGTTCATCCAAGGAGAGCTCGGTTTTCCTCAGCGATGACAGTCCAGTGGGAGAAGGTGCCGGGCCTCACCATAGCCTCCTCCCAGGGTTTGATTCCTACAGTCCCATCCCTGAAGGGGCAGTGGTGGAGGAGCACGCCCTGTCCAGAGAACATGGGGAACACTTTGACCTCTTCAACTTTGACCGAACACCCATGGTTTCTGGACAGTCCCAACCATCTTCCCATTCTGCTGACTACTCCCCATCAGATGACTTCTTCCCCCACAGCGATTCGTCAGAAGGACAGCTCCCGTTGGGGCCTAAAGGACTCAGTGGGATGGGAAGGAACATGTCTAATTATTCATCCAGCTCGCTTTTGTCGGAGGCTGGCAAAGATAACCTTGTGGAATTTGATGAGGAGTTTGTCCAGCAACAAGAAAGCCCCGGGGATAACTCTCAAAGAAATTCGAGCCTGACAGATTTTGTGGGAGAGGAGTCTCTTTCTCCTGGAAAGAGAGTCCCACCAACACCTATGAATAGCTTTGTAGAAAGCTCACCATCCACTGAAGACCCAGCTCTACTCTGTTCAGAAGACATGGCCCCAAAAACAGTCGACGCAGGTCACACAGGGCCACCTCAGCCTCGTGCGCGGTGCAGCAGCTGGTGGGGTGGTTTGGAAATTGACTCTAAAACCATTGCAGATACGTGGAGCTCCAGTGAACAGGAGTCCGTCTTCCAGAGCCCCGAGTCCTGGAAAGATCATAAGCCAAGCCCGGTGGATAGGAGAGCCTCCGATTCTATATTTCAACCAAAGAGTCTTGAATGCTCAAAGCCAGGTCCCTGGGAGTCAGAATTTGGTCAGCCTGGGCTGGGCAACAAGAACGTTCAAGACCAACATGAGGAAAGCTTGCAGTTTCAGAACCTGCCCACTGAGAAGTCACATTTGCCAGATGCCTCTCCTCAGGGAACAAACCATCTGATAGAAGACTTTGCTGCTCTGTGGCGCTCAGATCGCTCCCCCACAGCAATGCCTGAGCCGTGGGGCAACCCCATGGATGGCGGTGAACCAGCTGCCACAGTGTCATTCCCAGCCTGGGGTGCATTTGGTAAAGAAAATGACACCGAGGCTTTAAAAAATACCTGGAATCTGCACCCAACGAGTGGGGAGTCACCTTCTGTGAGAGACCCGAATGAGTGGGTCGTGGCAAAAAGTGGGTATTCTTTTCCTGCAGAAGACCTGGTGGACAGGTCGCCCCGTGAGGCAAGTAATGAAGCAGCTCCAGAGATCTGGGGCCAAAAGAACCATGACTCCAGGGCTGACATCCTCATACCTGGAGACCCCAGGTCTGATCCAGATCACGCATGGAATAGTTCTAAGCCCACAAAGGAAGATCAGGATGGTGGCATGGAGCCAAAAATTAGGGGAAAAGTCTATGAAAAGGTAGATTCGTGGAACCTTTTTGAGGAGAGTATCAGGAAGAGAGGGTCAGACATCTTAGCTCCTTGGGAAGATTCCTTCCTGTCATATGAGTGTTCCGATTACAGTGCCTCCAACATTGGGGAAGATTCGGTGCCTTCCCCCTTAGATACCAACTACTCCACCTCCGATTCCTATACATCACCGACATTTGCTGGAGATGAAAAAGAAACCGAAAATAAACCACTTGCTAACGAGGGAGGTTTTGAGTCAAAAGATGCTAACTCTCCCACAGAAGAGGCTGAAATCCCTCCTCAGTCACCACTGCAGCCACCTAGACATCGAATTAGCTCAGGTCCTGGGAACCTAGAAATGTGGGCTCCACCTCATGCAGATAATAGTTCTGAAAGAAATGCCACTGACAACCCAGATGAAGAGGTACTCAAGACAGAGCCCACAGATGACAAGGACGTCTCCGTGGAGGAGGACGTTGGGGAGAGCAGCCAGTCCAGTTACGACAACCCCAGCATGATGCAGCTGTACAACGAAACCAACCGGCAGCTCACGCTCCTGCACAGCAGCACCAACTCCCGGCAGGCGGCCCCCGACAACCTCGACTTGTGGAACAGAGTGATTCTGGAGGACACTCAGTCCACTGCCACCATCTCGGATAACGATTTGGACTGGGATGACTGCAGCGGAAGTGTGACGATCCCTGGTGAAGGTCAAGCACAAGGACACACAGCGGAAGGTACCGAACCCGAAACCCGATTTTCAGTGAGACAGCTAGAACCGTGGGGCACGGAGTATCAGGAAGCAACCCAGGCAGACTGGGGACACCCTGCTTCTTATGAGCACAGCAAGGACACCGCTCCCAGCGAACATCACGTGCTGAATGAAAAGAGCGGACAGCTCATCGCAAATAGTATTTGGGATTCTGTCATGAGAGATAACGACATGTCATCATTAATGCGTCCAGGCCCATTGTATGTTACAGATTCAGAACAAAGCGGAGTGCCTCCTGAAACTCCCAGTGCATCAGAAAAAATTAAGGACAGTACCATCCCAGATGTTCTAGAAGCCTCTGGAGCCAGTGAGTCAGGAGCACTTGGTCCAGACGAGGAAAACACGTGCAGAGGAGAACTGCCAGGTGATACGGCGGCGTCCCTGACAACCAGGCTGGAGAATCCAGGGCATGTTGAATGCTCAGATCCCTGGGAAGGTCCTCACTATGGACAAAGTGAGGGTGAGACAGAAACCCACAGAGCTGTTGATAGGGAGCACCTGAGCGAGGAGGGGGTGATGGATGGAGCCTCGGGAACTTCTGGAAAAGGACAAGGCGACCAGGAATGCTCTCCCCTAGTTGTATCTGAACATGAAGAAATCTGCGATGAGTCAAGCAAAATCAGCTCTCATTCAGTAACTTCAAGTCCTCAAACTGAGGAACCCCAGGAGGTTCTAGAGCAAGAGGAGGGATCTTACAATTCAGACCCCTGTGATGTGCAAACAGATGTGTCCACAGACCACCAACAGGCAGAAGAGACCTGTGAAAAGCACCTCGTGAATCACAGAAATTCAGGTGAAACTACTGAAATTTCAGATAAGCTGACTTTAACAAAAAATGTATCTTTACCTGAAATGGATCTTGAGATAACTGAAGAATGTAACATTCTGGGGCCAGAGAAAGTGAACCAAGAGCCACCTCCTGCATGTCCCCAAAGCCTTGATGTTTGGGGTGGCCCTACAGACAGTGATGTGCAGGTCAGTTGCACAGGTTCTGAGATAACTAAGGATCTTGAAGGTAAGAGTGCTGAAAACAGGCCTCCAGGAGCCGGTTCTTCAGGAAATTATGACAGAGAGAGTGTTTCTAGTGAGTATTCACATTCCAGTGCCTCAAGTCCTGACCTCAATGACTCTTCGGCTGCACAGCTTTCTTGGGATCATGAACCCAATACTGGGCGTCAGAAGGAGACTCAAGATGACTGGAGTAAACAGAATCACCAAGAATCTGGACTAATTACTGCTGATGGCCAAGTAGAAGTAATTACCGAAATCAAGGACCCGGAGAAAAACAGCATGGACAAGTTTGAAAGGAGCTTAGGTCACAAGGTTCCTACATATTTAGAGATATGGAATGACTCAATAGATGGTGATTCCTTTTCCTCTTTATCCAGCCCTGAAACAGGCAAATATTCTGAATATTCAGGTGCATATCAGGAAAGAAATCTAGTGGTTAGCCATCAGGAGAAAAATGAACGTGATATTCCTGACGCTGTGCGGCCGGAGGATGCCAAGTTCACGTCAGCAAGCTCAGGTTCCGACGATGATAGCGTAGGCGATGAGGGGTCAGTGGAGGAAGAGAGCCATTTGGTCACTTGCCAGGTTGCTCAGAGCGAACCCCAAGCTTGGGACTCATTAAATGAATCTAAATTCTTGGACATGGAAGATCCCAAGTCTGAGGAATTATCTGCCTATGTAGGCAGTTCAGGACCAGCAGAGAATGAGAACACATCAAACCCATTCTGTGACAATCCACAAAGCAGCCCTGATCACTCTAATTTCTCACCACTAAAGGAGACTGAAACACAGATGATAGCAGTAGATAAGGAGACGAGATCTCCAGAAACAGGGAAGACAGGAAATATCATATGGCAAATATCTCCCAAAACTGAACCAAAGAATGAAAATAATTCTAAACTGGAAATGCTTGACTTCCCAGCTGAGAGCACTGAGTGGTGGAATGCATCTCTTCAGGAAGGGCAACCAATTGAGAGTGCATTTGAGGGGGAGCTGTCTAACTCAGGTGGTATGCAAGAGATGAATTCTTCTGTATACCAACACATGGGTCCCTGGGGCATACCCATTCAGGGTGATATGGAATCCATGGACACACATTGTACTAATCCTTTCAGTGATGAACATCAGTCACCCTTTCCGGATAGTAATGCGGAGAACTCCCATGAGCAACTTTGGAACATTCAACCACGGCAGCCAGATCCAGAAGCTGATCAGCTTAGCCAGCTTGTAATATTGGACCAAATTAAAGAAAAGGATCCCAGAGAGCAAACTTTCATGTCTTCTGCTGGTGACAAGCTCACTTCTGAAACACCTAGCCAAGAGCAGTGTCATGATACAGTGCTGTCGGTCTGGGATCAGCCAGACCCAGCATATACTCACATAGATGAAAATAGATGTGTTACATCTGATGTCTCAACTATTGAGTGTCAAGAAACAAATTGGTGGGAGGAAGAAAAATCATACCCCAGTGAAATGACAAATTCATGCATTGCCTCCAAAGATTCCCCTACTGTCAGTTCTTCTACCCAGTTGATAAAGAAGTCAGGGGCTGAATGGGATGGCTCTACCCCTAGTGAGGGCCCCCAAAGCACATTTGTTCCAGATATCTTACATGGCAACTTTCAAGAGGGTGGGCAGTTGGCCTCAGCTTCGCCTGACTTGTGGATGGATGCTAAGCAGCCTTTCAGTTTGAAAGCAGATGGTGATAATCCTGATATACTGACTCACTGTGACCAGGACAGCAATTCTCAGGCTTCCAACAGCCCTGATATTTGTCATGATCATGAAGCCAAGCAAGAGACTGGGCCACACATCAGTGCTAGGATGGGACCTGAAGGGGAAGCCAATGAGTTATATCTCACCGAGCCAAAGCTGGATGAAGAACCCAGTCACGAGCTTGGGCAGGAATTTGTTCCATACAGTTCAGAACCATGTTCTGAAAACAAAATTCCACTGCCTCCCGCGAGCGATCAAGTAAACACAAATGGCTCATCTCAGCCTGCTGCCTCTCACAGTGGTTCTCCCGAACCTTCTGAAATAAATGATGAAAACAACACAGGTTTAAAAGCATCAGAAAAAGGAGCCGATCCAGAGATGGCACCAATTTGGGAGCCCATAGACAGAACAATCCCAATGATTAAGAAGGTGGGAACCGCTATTTTTGTAACTCACCAAGAGCCAACCATGGATGGCAACAGCTCTTGGATCTCAGAGGACTTTTCTCCTGAAAGTCAGACAGGGGAAGCAGCCTTGTTGGACCTCGAGCAGCCATTGACTGCTGAGGACCCTGCCTCAGTTCCCGACGCTCTGCTAGTCTCGGACACTTGTCTGGATGTCAGCGAAGGCATCAGTTTCAGTGATGCCTCAGGTCTCAACACGTCCACGGGAACCATAGATGACATGAGTAAACTGACACTATCAGAAGGCAATCCTGATACGCCAGTGGATGGGGATGCTGGGAAGCAAGATATCTGTTCATCTGAAGCCTCGTGGGGTGATTTTGAATGTGATGTCATGGGCCAAAATATTGATGAAGAGTTCATGAAAGAGCCTGAACACTTTCTCTATGGAGGTGACCACCCCATGGAAGAAGATGCTCTGAAGCAATCACTGGCACCTTACACGCCTCCCTTTGATCTGTCCTACCTCACAGAACCTGCTCGTGGTGTCAAAACCGCAGAGGAAGCTGGGACTCCAGAGGATAAGTCTATGGGGAGTGAAGCAGGAGAGATATTGCTTTCCACTCTACCTGATCAAAGAAGCAAGGAAAGCCACACTGAGACCCAAATCAGCCAACCTGGACACCAGCTGGTTGTACTGCATATTCATGAAGACCCTGAGTCAGTTTCTTTTCCTGTCAGAGGTGATTCCAACCTGGAGTTGTCTCCATCAAACATTGACTGGGAAGTAGAAACAGATAATTCAGATTCACCAGCAGGTGGAGACATAGGACCATCAAATGGTAAGAACCAGCCCATTCCACCAACCCCCAGAAACTGCTGCTTTCATTCAATTAACCCATTTGCAAAACATACTCTTCCTAACGGTGTGGGTAAATGGGAACTAACTACATTTGCAAGGCATGCCTACGTAGCCAAGTCCTATATTACAGCAGTAACATCTCCTGCTTTTATAATACCTCTCTTTGAGAGTACATGAGAAGATTAAACATATTTTTTGGTATAAAATACCTTTCTATTACAGTTTACATTCAATATTACTTTGTATTAGTTTTAGGTATACAGAATAGTGGTTAGACAATCCTATACTTTACATAGTGTTCCTCTGATATTTTAAGTACCCTCTTGGCACCATACATAGTTATTACAATATTATTGACTGTATTCCCTACGCTGTACTTTACATCCCTGTGACTATTCTGTAACTACCAATCTACTTCTTAATCCCTTCACCTTTTGCACCCAGCCTCTCCGCTACCTCACCTCTGGCTGCCATCTGTTAAACAGATATTTCTTAAATTACCTCTTGTTAGATGGATCATTTGCAAAGATCACAAATCACATAATGTGTTAATTAAGCCTTGTTTCTCCCCTTCTCACCTCATCTTCCACGTTTAGGTGCCAGCAAAGGAATATTCGAGTTTGAAGAAGAAGCAGTAATTCCTACCCAAGAGCCTGAGCAGATAAAACCAGAATTCAGAGAAGAAAGGAACACGGGGAAGAATGAAGACCATCAAGCACAACACCTGGACTACATCCTTGTAAACCATGAAGAAAATTCACCCCCAGAGCCAGAGGCCTTTGAAGCAAGAGAAAGCACATCGGAATCGGCAGAGTTTCACGTAGGTTCCAAACAAGCGGAGCTGCCAGGAACTCAAGTAGCAAACTTCCCAGACACTTGTCAGTCCGACTCCTTAAGTGAAAGACAAGATCATTCTGCAGAGAACATGTCTTCTGAAGATGATAAGAGATCATCTCTTGAAAGCCCTGGGCAAGAACAGAGTTGGATGGTCTTGGGCCATAGTGAGGTTAGCAATCCATCGTCAGAAGCTAGGGACGAAGGGTCTGACAGGGCTGTAGAGCCAGCCTCTGATCACAACTTGGGCATGAGTCCCCAAATGCAGGCTCTGGGAGAAACAAAGCCTCTAGAATCTGTAGCAATAGAGGAGGCCTCTGGTCTGTGCAGCCAATCTCAGAAGAGCAAGAGCGGAGGCAGGGCTGGCCCAGATACAGTTATGTTGCAGACTGTTGCCCATGACAATGAATGGGAAATGCTTTCACCACAGCCTTCGCAGAAAAACATAATCCCTGAGACAGAAATGGAGGAGGAGACAGAGTTTCTTGAGCCCAGAACAAGGAAACCAAGACCAAATGGGTAAGCAAGAAACTAAATTTACTTTCTTCCTGAAAATGATTTTATTAGAAACCAGGGAAACGGTGAGGGATGATGGGATATTAAGAATACCTAGTTTTGCTTATATTTTTTGCAGAGCATGCCATCAATAAAAGTAGCTGCTGGGTCGCTATAATGATAACCGTGATTTGTATATATTTTCAGCCAAAAAAGCCCCTCAGTTTCCACCCAGAATCTTACACTTACCCTCCCAATATTTGTCCTGCTCAACACCAGTATCAGCCTTATACAAGCCATTGGAACCGGAGTGGGAAGGGCACTAACATTTATTCATAGCACCAGGCAGTGGCACCATTATCTTATTTAATCCTTACAGCAACCCCGAGGTAGTAGGTATTATTCTCTTTATTTTACCCATACTGATGGCGGGAGGGGACTTAAGGATCAGAAAGATTCTACGACTTGCCTAGAATTAAGTAACCAGCGTGAACAGTCTGGGTTTTTTTTTTACCCCCAAAGACTATACTTTCCAGCAGACACACAGAAAAGGCGATTCTGGTTTTATACAAGTATTTAACTTACTAGTGGGAATAAGGAGACTCCACAGCAGGCTTAATGTCTTAGTGTGAAACTTCATTCCCTGATTGGCTGGAAAATCAACAAACCACTATTAAACCAGTGATTCATTTATTCATCCATTCACTCACCACCTGGTTTTTGGAATCTGCTCTGTGCTGAGTGTCTGGGTAGCCATGGACATAGCAGGGAACAGGATGCCGTCCCTGCCCCCAAGCTTCCAGGCCCTGCTGACACTGTTTAGAGTTGTTTGTGTTTCTCTTTATTTGCTCTCCTGCCTCCAGAGACAAAAGGGCAAATTGTGAAAAGTAACTTAAGTAAAGGGGAGAATCATGTTTCCCCCTTAAAATGTAGTGAAAAAAACATATCACTTTTTTCTACTCATTTTGGGAGTATAAAGGAGTATACACACCACATAGCCACGGCCAGTCAGGGAATCTGGACTCCAGCCTGATGCTATCATGTCGGTTATGCATTTTAGGATAACCCTAGGCTTAAGTCTCCTCATCTGTAAAACCAGTGGGTTGGGCTGGAGGATGTCAAGCCTTCCATCAGTATTAAATCCTGCAAATTTAATTTGTGTGTAGCCACGATACACCCAGGAGAGCTTTGGTCTTCAAAAATTACGTTTCTCCAGGAAGGAAGGGAACGGAGAACACACAGAATAGCAGGGGTATGTTGAGGCTTCGTCAAAGGCCATAAAGAGTTAAAAGCTATACCAGATCCAAGTGAAGCTTCATAAATCCAGCATTTTCAGTTGGTCTAATCTTTTTTTCTTCCTGTCAAGCTATTTCCTTCCAGAGACCCCAGATCCGTTATCAGAAAGAGAGCAGCAGATGGATCCCAGCAGCCCTGCTGGCATTGTTATAGATTGAGCTAAGAACGCAGGCAGCCTGGAGTTGGCTGAGCTACTGTTTGGCTTCTTGTCTGCATTTTGCACATGGCCCTGAAGTCAAACAGATGATAGCATTGCCTTGTGCCACTTGCCCCTCTTCTTTCAATCAGGTTTCTTTGTGCAGCCCTTTCTGCTCAGCTCCTGCCGTAATGAAAGTTGTCTCACAGTTGGGAGAGGGGGCAGATTTTCCTGCTGGCATTTGTATTACCTGTTGCATAAATAATTTACTTGGAAATATTTGTATTATTAAAACTCTAGCGTTATTACCAGCATTAATAGTAGTATAAAAATATTAGTACTTCAAAACTTCCCTCTGTGCTAGATATTGGAGGAGGCAGAATTGTCTGAAGCAGTGATTCTCTAAGGGGGGTCCAAAACCCAGCGGCCTCAGCATCGCCTGCATATTAGTTATAAATGTGGATTACCAGCCCCACACCAGACCTCCCGACTCAAGAACTCAGATGGGGTCCAGTCATCCGTATTTCAATACCTCCACCAGGTGACCCTGATGCACACTAAAAGTTCTGAGGACCACTGGTCTAAAACTTATTCCTAGCCCTCTAGGGATTTACATTTAATAAGGGAGTTAAACATAACTGAAAAGGTGAATAGTAGGGTAATACTTAAATGAAGGTAGTTAATGACCAACGTCCGTTTAAACAGAAATAGTTGCCAATTACAAGCATTTGCCATGGACCAGAGACTAAGCACTATGTCTGCATGGTTTCACATTACTATGGCAACTGTGTGAGGTAAGAAGTATACAAAGGAGGAAACTGGTGTGCAGAAAGGTTGAGTCACTTGCTCTGGTTTATAGTTAGAAAGTGAAGACACTGGGGTTTGCATTTGAGTCTCTCTGTGTCGAGTGTGTGTTGATGCCAGTATGTAAGAGGGGAGGCGTTTTTATGGAGGAATCCGGGACAGCTTGTTATCCAACAAGATCAGGAGGCAGAGTTCCCAAGGCCCATTATACTCGAAGGGGTTCAGGAGAGGCTTTGAATTTCTTTGAAAGTCAAAAGGACAAAAAAATTATTACTGTATACTCCTTTGTGGATTATTTCTTTCTGCCAACAAGGATGTAAAATAAATTTTTAGGTTTTTTGTTTAAAGGAAGGAAGGAGCCCATGAAGGCAAAAGTTCCTAATGCCCATGAAAGTCATACTGCACCCCATAGGGTGCAGTTCGAGATGGACATTAAATGAAGGTCGTGATCTGGAAAGGCATGGGGCGGGGGGGAGAGGCCAGCCACATTAACCGGGAAGAATATGGTGAAGGGAATCATGGAGACAGGAAAGTAATCACAGAAGCGATATAAGATAACCATATTTTCCCAACCAAAAACCCGGGAACATATTGTAACAGATAATCTCATCATAAGACAGAATACCTAAAATCAAGACTGTCCTAAAAATAAATTAAAACCTGGTCTTCAGCCCTAGCTGGTTTGGCTCAGTGAATGGAGCATCGGCCTGCGGACTGAAGGGTCCCGGGTTCCATTCCTGTCAAGGGCACATGCCTGGGTTGCAGGCTTGATCCCCAGTAGGAGGCATGCAGGAGGCAGCTGCTCAATGATTCTCTCTCCTCATTGATGTTTCTATCTCTCTCCCCCCTTTCTTCTCTGAAAAAAAATAAAAATAAAAAACCTGGTCTTCAAAAACAGAAGTAGGCCCAGTCAATGTTGCTCAGTGGTTGAGCATTAACCCATGAACCAGGAGGTCAGGGTTCAATTCCCAGTCAGGGCACATGCCTGGGTTGTGGGCTTGATCCCCAGTAGGGAGTGTACGGGAGGCAGCCAATCCATGCTTCTCTCTCATCATTGATGTTTCTATCCTTCTCTCTCTCCTTTCCTCTCTCTGAAATAAAAAAACAAAACAAAACAAAAACAAAAAATAGAAATAGGCTGTGATGTGACACACTAGCTACAAATTGGCTTCTTGCCCTCCGCTCATCCCAGCACAGCCCCTCCCAGCATTCACACTGTTTTGAGAGCAGTAAGCTTTCAAAACCTGAGGAAGATGAGGTGCTTTTTCTCCTCATCCTCCACCTACTAATTCTTTTTCACAAAACTTACTGTGAGTGCTGAGAGAGAAACTCTCTCCCTTGTGATTTTCAGCACAGTGTTCTAGTTCCCTAGATCCAGTCTTCCCGGAGGCTTTTGCCAACACCTTGGTCATTCCCCAGCTGCAGATGCCCCCACCCCCCAGCTCAGGATCGCTCACTAATTCCCGAGAGTGATGGACGGGCCTGAGCTTTCCTATGCGGTCACAGAGAACATCTGCAGAGTAATCAGCAGCACACGGACTTTTCTGAAAATTAATAACCATTTATATGTTTCTTTTAAAAAGAAGGCACTGTTGCAAGGATATCATATGAAGAAGGGATACTTTGATTATATATGGTCAGGGTTCTCCAGAGAAACAGAGCCAATAGGAGCAATAGATAGATAGATAGATAGATAGATAGATAGATAGATAGATAGACAGACAGACAGATAGATGAGATGATTGAGTAGATAGAAACTGTTTCAAGGAATTGGAATTGGCTTACACAATTTTAGGGACTGAAGTCTATAGGACAGGCCATGGGCTAGAAATTCAGGCAAGAGTTGTGACAATCTTGAGTCCAAATTCTGCAGGGCAGTGGAGTCTCTGGGTTTCAGACTTGAGAAGAATTCCTTCTTTTGGGGGAATCTTCAGACTTTGCTCTTAAGGCCTTCAATTGATTAGATGAGGCCCACCCATGGTCTGGAGGATAGTCTGCCTTACTCAAAGTCTGCTGGTTTCAATGTTAATCACATCTGAAAAATACCTTCATAGCAATAGTTAGAGGGGTGTTTGACCAAAGAACTGAGCACCATAGCCTAGCCAAGTTGATATGTAACATTAATCATCACAGGTTATATTCAAAAGCCGGAACTACAGGCTAAGCAGGCATGAAACCATTACCATTTGTAAACTAACCATCTGAATTATTTAAAAACGGAACAATTGATATACAAATATATTGGCTTTCTATAGGTGTGGGGCAAGGAAATAATTTCCCAGAGGACTAAGAAAACTGACAATACTTATCCAATCTTTAGTAGATACATGCAGCGGGGGCTGGTGGGGAGAGGAGTGAGGGGGGAGAGGGGAGGAGTAGCTGTTGTAATGTGTACTTTTGAAACTGTATTTGGCAGTTTCAAATACTAGCTCTGAGAGATGAGTTAGTTGGTACTCATTAAAATAAAAATCACCTTCAAACACGATATATTTCATATTCCACACGACCTGCTTCTTATGGTGATTTCTGTACGTTCTTTCTTTTTAAATTAGTCAATTTTGAACTTTATTTCTGTGTGACGAGACTATGGGAAAGAATTCATATTCTTCCCTCTGACCCCATTTGGTCTTTTTATGTTTTTCATGAGTCCTCTAAATTCAGGCTTTTTCTGTCCAGGACTTCTGGTTGAGGAGTTAGTACATTGGGTCTCACATCCATGTGAATGTTGAAAATGAAAAACAGGTAAAGTAATCATCCGTTCCCTCTTTCTCTCAGTGTTGAGTGATGA